GTCCGGATGGGGTGCGGTATACACGGAAGAACTCGAACCATATGCGGTGGTCTCCTGTTGTGGTACTGTCAAACTCCTAGCAGCTGTGTCCAATTGGGATATCGTAGAAACAGTTGCATTGTCGGTCCACCTGAAGAATTTATAGTCTTTAGGTTCTTGTCCCCACCATTACCTGTAAAATTGCCTCCCGAAACTACCTGTCTGGTGTGACGTGAATAGCAAGGACGGTAGTCCGCAACGACACATCACTTTCTCGGACTTTACTGAATGTCTGGAACTCATTGTTCTGCAGTTATTAAAAATAGAATAGATCAGTCCAAAAAATGAAGAAATATAAAAAGTAAACTTATCCAAGTGTAGAGTCAGCGATTGCTGACAACAAATTTACGTGGCCGTCCAAACTGCTCCACTGTTATCCACCATATAAGAGGTGAAACTATTAACCAGCATAAAACAACATATCCACATTAATTATAAAATATGCTCAAAGCTGCTAATATAAACTCTAATATAAGCATCACCTGTCTCTATGATACTCATGATTCCATAAACGAAATCGCAAAGAAAGCTAAAAAGGGATTTTGAATTAAAAGACCAATTTGCTCTGAAATTTATTTCCTTGGAATGGAGATTGCATGGAGTAAAAATGGTTTTTTTTTTTTAATTTCTCAACAAAAAAGACACTCTTGATCTACCTATTGAAACGAGAAAATTTTGATGTGAACCAGCTGGAACAACACTAGGCAAAAGAAAGATGGAAGGAGAACAATGATCATCCTATGGAAAAAAAATCATATCAATGATAGGTAAGAAAATCAAATATATTGCATACATCGTCAGTGTAATAAGCCTCAAGGCAATGCAAAAATAAACTAATTGATTTATAAAAACCTAGGGAAATCTACATAAATAGCACCCATTGTTATGTATTCCCATATCTCTCAATCATATTTACAAGCACAGACACTATGGTGCTTTAACCCATGCATTAAAAGGTAGATTCGACATTTAAGAAGTTGTAATAGTGCTATTTCAGATGTGAGATTAAAGATTTGAGGGCTGTGCATGTAAATATGAAAGTTTAGGTGTCAGATATAAACACATCAGAATTGTATGCGATGTATGTAAATGCCCCAAATTAAAAAAGAATCACAGAAGGGTTTATTTATCTCACTTTTCCTCAACTCAGTAGATAGCAGCCCTAAAGAACATCAAAAAATATAGTTCAATCATGCTTAGTCTACTTTAATATTCATTAGACAACACCTCATCTTTTTACAGGCTTTGCTTAAGCAAGCGTTCATTTGCAGTCAAACAGATGCTGAGTCCCAAGGTTGCTGAAATTCCTTATATTCCACTACATATTTGGATGCTAGATATGGGCTGCAGAAATTTATAAATATATGTGTAAAATTTATACATATTCCCGACACCTAAACTTCATTCAGGCCACTGCATACAGAGCACGGAGCATGTACAACATTGTTCATGTATTACAGCTTCAGCAATAATGCATAGACCTTATTGCAACATTTTGCAATGAAACAAAATAGATTACAACTTCACATTCATAAAAATGAAACTAAAAATAGATTACAGCTTCAGCATTAGTTTGATTTCAAAAGAACCAAAATTGAAACCATCCAAAATTTCGACCAACATTGAATCCAACATACCCTAATTTCGACCCCAATGGGTCATACCATAATAGCGGTTGCCATCCAAGTTACATACATAACATGGGCCCATTAAGCTACATACATATTGCTTACAAATTTTAGATGCTTCCATAACCATACCAAAGTGTCGTGACATTTTGTAGTGCATGGTACTATAACCAAGAATAAATCAGCATTAGATGCTTCAGTATTAGATGCTTCCATAACCATAACATAGTTTTAAAGCATAAGGTGACGTTCCTTCGTTTGTTCTTCATCTTTCTCCTTTTTATCTCCATCTTCCTCCCCACCACCTTCGGCTCCGTATAATGATGAAAATAATTATTTAGCCGATTGAAATAAAGAAACAAGGAGAATGGATTAGCATCTTTTGGATCAGCATCTTCAGTTTCATTAGTAACTTCTTCAGCGGAGGTATCAAAGACAGGTTCATCCAAATAAACCATCAAAGCCGTCTCCATGGTGGTATTATCTTCTACATCATCAGAAGAAACATTGGGCAGTGCTGGTGGTGCCACATATGAATATCCTGAGAAAGACAGACGTATTGATCCATCAATACGTTGACGTGTTGACAACGATCGGGGGACTTGCAATCCCACATTATCAGATGACTTTAAATTCCAATCAAGACCGCGAAGGTCATCAATAGTTTGCTTGGCGCCTGACAATGCCATGATACCATTAGATGCTAGATAATCAGCTATGCCATCTACATGATATCGAAATCCAGCATGACTGGTGTTGGTGAGCCTTGCTACTAACGCTCTGGTGATTAAGAGATTAGATTCACCGGCTTGCCAGTGTTCATAACCATAAGTACTGCGAGCTCCACGTGATTAAGAAAATCATGAATAGACATCATTATGTCTGGTGTAATGTACACTAGTTGTGTGTCATGCGTTAGATCCACTTCCATCGTCCCAATGATTGAAACATCAGAACGTCATCTGGTGTCTCGTAAGACTAATAGAGCATTTGTCCCGGCATCCCGTCGATGCAAAGTATGAAGTCGTATCATAATTAATCCCAGATGGATATGTTGAATTCCTTCTTGGAGCAACCTTTGATAAGACTGCTGCCTTATAAAAGACAAATTAACTTGCGTGTTATCAGTAACTAACACGCGTTCCTCAGAATAGTGTTGATAGACACGATGATGAGTAGCAGACCAACCATCTTCATATAAAGTTTCAGCCGGCACAAGGCTGGCCCTTTTGCTCCGGGATAATTGTAGTTGCTGGTCGGGGTTGATGTGTGTCTCCAACGTTCGATGGTATGATCGCCTTCTGGGAAGACGTGGCTGTAGCTCATAAGCGAGCGGAGACCTTAATCGATAATCCCGTATCTGGTCATCAAGATTTGAGAGGGTGTTAGTGGAGGTGTCACTTGTTCTGACTGACGGTAAAGTCTCAGTTCTAGATCTGAAAGACGAACTCATTTTTGTTTGGATTTTTGTTGTTCACCAAGGAAGACGGTTTTAGGGTTTCTATAAACAAAATATTGTCCTTTCGGACGTCGTACTATAGGTCCTTGGGGTAGTTCAGAGATTGTTAGGTTTTGTAATTGTTTTTGAAGATCTGCTACAGAATTATCTGATATCTTAGTATTTTCTTTTTGGAGGTTTTTAACTTCCTCAAGAGAAATTATTCTATCAGATATTTTTAAGATCAGCTGAATCAAAGTATTATTCTGTTTAACCAGAATACTTAAAGCAGATGGTGTGGTGACTCTAGCTTCAGCAGGGTTAACAAAGCCAAGTGAAGGGGGTTCTATGGAGTTTGTTGCAGATATGGCTGATTTATAATCAGATGAGACTGCTGAAAGCTGCCAATCACTCATACAAGATTATGTATGAATTTCGAATGAAAAAGTAGTACCTTGAAGTTGCTTTTTCAGATTAATCACTTAGATTCATAAAATCGTCTGTCCTCAGTAATATGACATATAATCATAGAAGTATAATTTCTTATAGCGAATATTAGATAACTGTTATAGAGTTAACTAATAACCAAGAGCAGAACAAGTTCCTGAATGCTCCCCGCTTATTCCTTTTTTAGCCCTACAAATCCACAGTACTCTCCTTCAGAGTATAATGGTGGCACTCAGGCTTACTAACAAAAATAGCGGACACAGCGTCCTGTTCTATTTTTAGGTAAAAGTTGAACAAAATAACAGAACCATGTGACGCCTAAAAAATTATTACTCCCATAATTATATATGCATAAACCGAATAGAACGAACCAGAGTATTCTTACCTCCGGATCTCAGGGTCTCAGATCTTATGAATCAAACTGATAATATCTTACTTAGCTATCCCAAGGCACAAAGAAAGATTAACTAGACATGGTTTCCCAAATCTAGCTCTGATACCAAGAGGAGTTTGCGGAAATAAAAGATCGCTGGCTTGGGTTTCACAAAGAATATTATGTCAGAAGTTTAAGCAGAATAGATGAACAAACAAACAGAAGATAATTTATTAAGCAAACGACTTAGAACTTACAAGAACAGACGCCAGAGAATTAGACACCTTCGG